AAAGGAACAAACTGGGTCAGTCTGAGGGAGTTAAAGCCCAGCCCAATTAAATCTGACTATTCTGGGCTATTTTTTTCTACCCCCAAAAAATCCATTTCCACCCCAAAAAAATCCATTTCCACCCCCAAAAAAATTCAATTTCCACCCCCCCCCAAAAAAATCAGTTCCACCCCCCAAAAAATAAATAAATTTTCACCCCAAAAAATCCATTTCCACCCAAAAAAAAATTCCATTTGCACCCCAAAAAAAAGTCAATTTTCACCCACCCGTCTCCATCCCGGCGCTGCTCGCAGCCAGCCCCGGTCCGGGCTCCCCTCAGCCTGGGGAAAAAGGCCAGAATTGGGTCAGGAATGGGTTTTCCAGGGAAATCGGGGCATTTTGGGAATGTTCCAGCCCGGGGGAGGGAGGGCAAGGGAGGAATTTCCCAATTTCCTCAGGATTTCCCAGTTTCCCCACAATATTTTCTGCCCATTTTAATGCTCATTTTTGCCAGAAAAAGGTACCCGGAGTGTCCGTAACTCTTTGTTTTTATTGTCTGATATTGTCCCTAATCCAAATTGTCCAAATTATTATTATTACACGAATTATATTACATTATATTATATTGTATTATATTATATTATATTATACTATATTATATTACATTATATTATATTATATTATATTATATCATGCTATATTACATTAAATTCATTACATTAGACTTCATTACATTATAGGGTATTATATACTGACCTAATTATATATTTACTATATACTCATTTATTTACTATGTACTTAATCATAAATCACCATTATACTGTATTGTTTTATATCAGTATTTTAATGGCCATCTCATTACTATTAAAGCTCTAAAATCCCAAACCCAGCAATCGGCGTTTTTCACATTTGGGATTCCTGGGGGCCCCCAAGGCCCCGCGGGGCTGGGCCCGGATCGAGTTCCCACCCCGTCCCCACGGCGCCTCCAGAATTCCCGTTTGTGGGAATCCTCCCCCAGACCATCCCCAAATTTGGGTCAGCACTCACCCAGAGCAGGGGTTTGGGGTGGGATTTTGGGGCTCTGGGCCGGGGTTTTGGGGCCCGGAGCCTCGGAGGAGCCGCGACAGCTGAGCTGGAACTCGGCCCAGTTCCCAAATTGGACTGGGAGGAGGATCCCGAAATGGGCACGGAGGGAATCGGATCCTAACGGGATGCTAAATTGGGATCGTAAATGGGGATCCTAACTTGGGATCCTGAATGGGATCCTCACTTGGGATCCTAAATGGGATCCTCACTTGGGATCCTAAATTGGGTCCCTAAAGGGGGTCTGGGCCTGCAGTGAGGGCAGGGGGCGGCCGGGGACTCTGGGGACAGTGGGGGACACTGGAGCGACATGGGGACCCTCTGGGGGACACTGGGACCCTTTGGGGGACACTGGCATCCTCTGGTGGACACTGGGACCCTCTGGGGGACACTGGGATGTTTTGGAGGACACTGGGATGTTTTGGGGTGACACTGCGAGGTTTCCCCCTCAAATCCCCCCTTTCCGTACAACGCCCATGGGCGCCGCCATATTTTCCATGCCGACCGCCATGTTGCCGTACGGTGCACGTCCCTTCCGGTTCCTCCGGAAGCGCCGCCGCCTCTTTCCGCCCGCGCAGGCTGAGGGGACGGACGGGCCCGGGCCGAGGCCTCCGCGCATCCGCCGCCATCCCGCGGATCCCGCCGCTCCCGCCGCCGCCCGCCGCCGCCATCCGCCGCCATGACGGAGCAGATGACCCTGCGCGGCACCCTGAAGGGCCACAACGGCTGGGTGACGCAGATCGCCACCACGCCGCAGTTCCCGGACATGATCCTGTCGGCCTCGCGCGGTGCGGGACCGTCCGGGAGGGGTCTGGGGGCTGCCGTGAGGGGGGAGAGGGCGGCCGGGAGCGGGGGGAGCCGCGGGACGGGGCTGGGGGGGATGAGGAAGGGACAGGGGGTCCCTGAGGGTCTCTGGGGTGACCCCAGTGGGTTTGTGACCCCCTTGTGCCCCCTCCCCAGACAAGACCATCATCATGTGGAAGCTGACGCGTGACGAGACCAACTACGGGATCCCGCAGCGGGCGCTGCGCGGGCACTCGCACTTTGTCAGCGACGTGGTCATCTCCTCCGACGGGCAGTTCGCCCTGTCCGGCTCCTGGGACGGCACCCTGCGCCTCTGGGACCTCACCACGTCAGTTTGGGGTGAAATCCTGGGGTTTTGGGGTTCGGGTGTCAGGGTCGTCTCCGACGGGCAGTTCGCCCTGTCCGGCTCCGGGGACGGCACCCTGCGCCTCTGGGACCTCACCACGTCAGTTTGGGGTGAAATCCTGGGGTTTTGGGGTTCGGGTGTCAGGGTCATCTCCTCCGACGGGCAGTTCGCCCTGTCCGGCTCTGGGACGGCACCCTGTGCCTCTGGGACCTCACCACGTCAGTTTGGGGGCAGTTCCGGCGGTTTGGGGGCTCGGTTTGGGGTGAAATCCGGGGTTTTTGGGTCAGGGCTGCTCGCCGCTCCTCTCCCGATGATTACAGCTGAATTCCCACTGATCCCCCCGGGGGTCTGAGGACAAGTCCTGCAATGATGATGGGAGACACCTGGGCCAGCAGCCCCGCGGGTTTTTGGGGATTTTGGGTTTTTTTTTTTTTGGGGGATTTTTGGGATTTTTTTTGGGTGTCCATTGAGGGGATGCAGCAGGAAAAGGGCCGGAATTTGTGGGGTCAAACTCTTCTCAAATCCCCAGATCTTCCTGGAACCGCTTTGGTCCAATTCCCACTGATCCAATTCTCACTGAGTCAATCATTGCACACCTCTTTTCACTCCATTTTTATGGCTGTTTTTCCCAATTTATGGATATCTCACCCCAATTCCTGGGTGGTTTTCCCCCATTTATGGATATTTCACTGCAATTATGGACATTTACCCCAATTCCCTTCTGTTCTTTAACATTTTATGGCTATTTCACCCCAATTTCTGGCTGTTTTTCCCAGTTTCTGGGTATTTCACCCCAATTCCTGGGTGTTTTTCCAGGTTATGGATATTTCCCTGGTTTCTGGGGAAATTCTGGGTGTCTGACCCTGCTCCTGATCCTGGCTGGTTTTTTTCCCATTTCACAGCTATTTCACCCCAATTCCTGACTGTTTTTTCCCATTTTATGACTATTTCACCCCGATTTCTGCCTGTTTTTCCCAATTTCTGGCTATTTCACCCCGGATTTCCCCTCGCAGGGGCAGCACCACGCGCCGCTCCGTGGGGCACACCGAGGACGTGCTGAGCGTGGGCTGCTCCCAATTCCCAGCTGTTTTATCCCAATTTGCGGCCATTTCCCCCATTTTTACGGCCGTTTTTCTCATTTTTTTGTGTGTTTTTCCCATTTTTTGGATGTTTCACCCCAAGTTTCCCCCCAGGGGCACCACCACGCGGCGCTTCGTGGGGCACACCAAGGACGTGCTGAGCGTGGCCTTCTCCTCCGACAACCGGCAGATCGTGTCGGGCTCGCGGGACAAAACCATCAAGCTGTGGAACACGCTGGGCGTCTGCAAGTACACCGTGCAGGTGGGACACGGGTTTGGGGTGAATTCCGAGGGTTTTGGGTCATTTGGGGTCAGTTATGGGGATTTGGGGTCATTTATGGGGACATCCTCACCTGTCCCTCACCTGTCTCACCTGTGTCTCACCTGTCCCCAGGACGAGAGCCACTCCGAGTGGGTTTCGTGCGTTCGCTTCTCGCCCAACAGCAGCAACCCCATCATCGTCTCCTGCGGCTGGGACAAGCTGGTCAAGGTGAGCCCCCGTCCAGGTGAGACCCCCGGGCCGGGCACACCTGGGCACACCTGGGAGCCCCGGGATCGTCCCCCCTGACCTCACCTGTCCCCCCCAGGTGTGGAACCTGGCCAACTGCAAGCTGAAGACGAACCACATCGGGCACACGGGGTACCTGAACACGGTCACCGTGTCACCTGACGGGTCGCTGTGCGCGTCCGGGGGCAAGGTGAGGATGGGACACACCTGGGGACACACCTGGGACACACCTGGGGCATTGGGACACACCTGAGACACACCTGGGACACACCTGGGGACACACCTGGGGCATTGTCAGGGGTACCTGAACACGGTCACCGTGTCACCTGACGGGTCGCTGTGCGCGTCGGGGGGCAAGGTGAGGATGGGACACACCTGGGGGTGTCCCCAGTGTCCCACTGGGGTGTCCCCATTGATGTCCCCTGTGTCCCCAGGATGGCCAGGCCATGCTGTGGGACCTGAACGAGGGAGAGCACCTGTACCTGTGTCCCCCTGGGGGCGTCCCCAGTGTCCCACAGGGGGTGTCCTGGTTCTGGGGGTGTCCCCATTGATGTCCCCTGTGTCCCCAGGATGGCCAGGCCATGCTGTGGGACCTGAACGAGGGCAAGCACCTGTACACGCTGGACGGGGGGACGTGATCAACGCGCTGTGCTTCAGCCCCAACCGATACTGGCTGTGCGCCGCCACGGGGCCCAGCATCAAGATTTGGGTAAAAAAACGGGGAAATGGGGCTGGAAATGAGATTGGGATCACAGAATTGGCATTATGGGTGTGGGTAATGGGGTCAGAGCGGGGCCGTGATCAACGCGCTGTGCTTCAGCCCCAGCCGATACTGGCTGTGCGCCGCCACGGGGCCCAGCATCAAGATTTGGGTACAAAAATGAGATTTGGGGGATTGGGATAAGGGGATAGGGATTGAGATTGGGATAATGGGAATGGGATTGGGATTGGGATTGGGATTGGGATTGGGATAATGGGATAATGGGAATGGGATTGGGATTGGGATTGGGATTCCCCCCGTGCCGTGATGAAACACTGAAATGCCTCCGACCGCTCCGTGGGGAAACCCAGAGGCTGTTTCTGAGCCACCCGGGCTGGGGGATCCAGGTGGGATCCAGGTGAGATTTGGGGCACAATCCAGGTGAGATTTGGGCAGGATCCAGGTGGGATCCAGGTGGGATCTGGGCAGGATCCAGGTGGGATCCAGGTGAGATTTGGGGGCACAATCCAGGTGAGATTTGGGCAGGATCCAGGTGGGATCTGGGCAGGATCCAGGTGGGATCAGGGCAGGATCCAGGTGGGATCAGGGCAGGATGCAGGTGAGGTCCAGGTGGGATCCAGGTGATTGCTCACCTGTCCTCCCCCGCAGGACCTGGAGGGGAAGATCATCGTGGACGAGCTGAAGCAGGAGGTGATCAGCACCAGCAGCAAAGCGGAGCCGCCCCAGTGCACCTCGCTGGCCTGGTCGGCAGACGGGCAGGTGAGGAGCGCACCTGGGCAGGGGGCACTCACCTGGGCGCCCTCACCTGGGCACCCTCACCTGGGCAAGGGACATTCAAATCGGGACCCTCACCTGGGGACATTCACCTGGGCAGGGGGCACTCACCTGGGCCACATGGGCACCCTCACCTGGGCACCCTCACCTGGGCAGGGTGGGACATTCACCTGGGGACATTCACCTGCGGAGGGGACACTCAAATGGGGTCCCAACACCTGGGCAGGGGGAACCTTTACCTGGGGACCCTCACCTGGGGCTGAGGCCAGGAGTGACCCCTGGGATGACCCTAAATGACCCCTGAATGACCCTGACCCCTGTCCTTGTCCCCAGACTCTCTTCGCCGGCTACACCGACAACCTGGTGCGGGTGTGGCAGGTGACCATCGGCACCCGCTGAGCCCCGATCCGGCCGCTTTTCACCCCAAAAACGTCAATAAATGGCTGAGGCCCAATCCTGCCTTTTTTAACCCAAAAATGTCAATAAATGGCGATTTTTGGAGCTGGAGTCGCTGCGTGTTCCTGATGGGATTTTGGGGCAAAAAACCTCAAAAAGGGGGAAAATGCTGGTGACGTCACTGGGGTGGGATTTGGGGCTGTTCCTCGGTAAATTAATTTTTAAAAATCTCCACTTAATAAAAAACCCAAATTAATTTAAAAACCCCAAAATTGTGTAAGATATGAGGAACCTAAATTAATTTTAAAAACTCCCAAATTAAATAATTGCTATATATTAAATTAATTTCTAATAGTGAATAACTGCTAGGTGTTAATTTTTAAAAGTGATTAACTGCTAAGTATTATTTTTAATAGTAAATAACTGCTAAGTATTAAATTTTGCATAGTAAATAACTAAATATTAGTTTTTAGGAGTAAATAACTGCTAGATAATAATTTTAAAAATTAATAACTGCTAAATATTTTTAAAAGTAAATAATTGCTAGATATTAAATTAACTTTTAAAAGAAAATAACTGCCCTTGATACAACTTCTTTAATCTTTATTATTGACAAGTCATAAAACTAAAATCTCCGTTTAATTCTCATTTTTTTAGCCAAAAATATCCCGAACGAGCTCTGAAACGCCAACAAGGAAATTTCCCAAATCCACCAAAATTCAGGGAAAAACGTCAGGGGGAGGGGCAGGGGGAGGAGCTCCCAGGTGGGAAAGGATGCAGATGGAAATAACAAAAAAGGGAGGAAAAAAAAAAAAAAAAATTAAATTAAATTATTCCCAAGCCGGGAAGCCGGGGAGCTCCAGAGCTGCGGGGCGGGAACCCCGTAAAGTGCCAGAGGGGAGGGGAAAACCCAAAAACCCGGGATTTTCCCCAAAAAATGGCAAGGAAAGGGAGGAGCAAACAGCAGGGGGAGAACGGGGCTAGAACCCAAAAATCCAGGCACCGAAAAATGCGGATTTTGGGAAAGGAGGGAGGTTCAAATCTGACAGGATTTGGTCCCAAAATGTGGAAAAATTCCCGGGAAGGGCCCAAAATTGAACTGGGGGGGGGGCAGCTCCCAGTACTGGGACCGGAACTGAGACCGGATCCAGAACGGTTCCGAACGAAAATCACCTCAGCAAGGGCGGATTCTGCTCCAATTTAACCCAAAAATGGCTCCAAAGGGGTGGATTCTGCTCGAATTTAACCCAAAAATGGCTCCAAAGGGGTGGATTCTGCTCAAATTTAACCCAAAAATGGCTCCAAAGGGGTGGATTCTGCTTGTTTTAACCCAAAACCAGCTCCAGGGGGGCAGATCCTGTTCCATTTTAACCCAAAATTGGCTCCAAAGCAGCAGGGGTGGATTCTGCCCCATTTTAACCCAAAATTGGCTCCAAAGGGGAGGATTCTGTCCCATTTTAACCCAAAACCAGTTCCAAAGGCAGATCCTGCTCGATTTTAACCCAAGAATGGCTCCAAAAGGGCGGATTCTGCCCAGTTTTAACCCCAAACTGGCTCCAGATGGGAGGATCCTGCCCCATTTTAACCCAAAACCGGCTCCAAAGGGGCGAGCCCAAAACCAGTTCTAAAATGGCAGATCTTGCCCCATTCAACCCAAACCAAATTTCAAGGTGGGTCCTGCCCCACTTTAACCCAAAATTGGCTCCAAAGTGGCAGATCCTGCCCCATTTCAACCCAAAACCAGTTCCAAAGGCGCAGACCTTACCTCCTTCAAGCCAAACCCAACTCCAAGCTGGATCCTCCCCATTTCAACCCAAAACCCAATTCCAAGATGGATCCTGTCCCCTTTTAACCCAAAATTGGTTCCAAAGGGGCGGATCTTACCCCATTTCAACCCAAAACAAATTCCAAGACGGATTCTGCCCCCATTTCAACCCAAAACCAGTTCCAAAGTGGCGGTTTCTCCCCTTTTTAACCCAAAACCCAATCCCAAGGCGCTTCCCCACCTTGAGCTGCCCCGGCTCCGCGGCGCCGGATGATGAAGACGAGGAGGAAGAAGAGAAGGGAAAAGCAGAAGAAGATCAAGAACCTCAGGACCCAAACACCACCCCGAGTCCATCACCCCTTCTGAGCCCCCGTCGGGTGCGGATCTTGATGCGCGCGCCGCACGAGAAGGGGAGGATGAAGAGAAGGGAGAAGAAGAAGAACCTCAAGAACCTCGGGGCCCAAACACCTGCACAAGCCAGAGTCCATCCCCTCCCAGCCCATCGCCCCCTATCATCAGGTGCGGGTCTCGATGCGCGTGCCGCGGGCCAGCACGCGGAGGAGGAGGAGGAGGATGAAGACAAGGAAGAAGAAGAACCTCGGGGCCCAAACACCTGCACAAGCCAGAGTCCGACCCCTCCCAGTCCATCGCCCCCTATCATCAGGTGCAGATCTTGATGCGCGTGCCGCGGGCCAGCACGCGGAAGAAGGGGAAGACGCGCTGGCGGCAGCAGCAGATGTGGAAGGTGTGGATGTGGCTCATGCTCTCGGCGTTGTAGAAGCACAGCTGGCCGCGCTCGTAGTCCAGGTAGACGCCGAAGCGGCGCGGCTGCTCGGCGGGCGCCAGCGCCGTCTGCTCCGTGGCCGTCAGCGCCTGGTACTTCTTGCCCGAGGTGCCCAGCGCCCAGATCTCGCGCCGGGGCGGCGGCGGCGCGGGGCCGTGGGCGCCCTGGGGCCGCGCGCGGGCCGCTCTCGCGGGCGGCGCCCACGGCCCAGCCCCGGCGCCCGCCCACCTCCACCTCCCAGTAGTGGCGGCCGGCGGTGAAGCCGGGCGAGCCCAGCACGCACAGGTCGCCGCCGGCGGCGCCGGGGCCCGGGCGCGGCGGCACCGCGGGCTCCGCGCGCCGCTCCGACAGACGGACGCTGCGCCGGTCCGGGGACAGGCTGAGCCGCGGGGTGCGCCGTGGAGGGGTCCAGGGTCACGTCGGCTGCGGGGCGGGCGCGGGGTTAGGGGGGTTAGGGGGGTTTGGGGCGGGATTTGCAGCTCTTGAACATTGAATTTCCGCTCCCTCGACTTCCAAATTTTCACCCTTTTAACGCCAAAATTTCCGCTCCTTCAACCCCCAAATTTCCTAACTTTTAGTCCCAACTCTCACCTCTTCAACCCCATATTCCCATCTCTTTAACCCTAAATTTCCACTCCTTCAACCCCAGTGTTGGAGCATTTCCAGCCCTTTAATCCCAAATTTCCACTCTTTAAATTATTTCCAGCCCTTTAACACCAAATTTCCACTCCATCAATCCCCCGTTTCCTTATTTTTAATCCAAATTCTCTGCCTTTTAATCCCCATTCTCTCCTCTTCGACCCCATATTCCCATCCAATTAACACCAAATTTCCACTCCTTCAATTTCCAAATTTTCCTCCCTTTAACCCCCAGTTCCCAATTCCCACCCTTTTCAACCCAATTTCCAATCCCTTCAACCCCTAATTTCCAATCCCTCCAATCCCCAATTTCCACCCTTTTCACCCCAGAATTTCTACTCCTTTAAACAACAGATTTTCCCAACTCCAACCCCTTCAAAGCCCCAATTTTCACTCTTTTAACCCCAAATTTCCACCCCTTTAAGCATCAGATTTTCCCCTCTCCAACCCTCAGTTCCAACCCCTTTAAACCCCCAATTTTCACCCTTTTAACCCCAAATTTCCCCCTCCCCACCTTGGGGCACTTTGCTGAAGACCTTTTCCATCTTCCTCATCACCACGTCCTGCAGGAAGCAATTCCTGAACTTCCTCCCCACGTCCACCGGGATCATCTCGGGCTCCTGGAATTTGATGTTCTCACACCTGGAAAACGGGGGAAAAACGGCAGAAATTGGGATTCAGCTGCTCCAAGGTGCCCTCCGGGCCTTCCCGCTGCCCCAAAAATCCCAAACCGGCCCCAAAATCCCCCAAATTTCCCAAACCAGCCCCAGAATCCCCGCTGGGGACGGGGACTCACCTGATGAAGGTGCCTTTGATGTCCTGGGAGGTGCCAAACACAGAAGGGAAAAGAAAAAAAGTGAAAATTTTAATGAGGATTTGGGTTGGTCCTGTGGGATTCTGTTTTAACCCAAAATTGGCTCCAAAGGGGCGGATTTTACCCCATTTTAACCCAAAACTGAGGATCTTGCCCCATTTTAACCCAAAATTGGCTCCAGAGGGGTGGATCTTGCCCCATTCTAACCCAAACCCAATTCCACGGTGGATCTTCCCCCATTTTAACCCAAAATCAGTTCCAAATGGGCAGATTTTGCCCTGTTTTAACTCAAACCCAATTCCAAGGTGGATCCTGCCCCATTTTAACCCAAAATCAGTTCCAAATGGGAGCATTTTGCCCTATTTTAACCCAAACCCAATTCCAAGGTGGATTGTGCCCCATTTTAATCCAAAATTGGCTCAGAAGGGGTGCATTTTGCCCCATTTTAACCCAAAATTGGCTCCCCACAGCCTCAGTCTCGCTGATCAGGGGCTGCAGAGGTGCTGCCCTCTCCTGCAGCACTGTCACCCCTCAATCCCCGTTCCCCAGTCCCAGTTTACCCCAGTTTACCCCATTTTCACCCCATTTTCCCCCACTTTAACCCCACCTTGAGCAGCTGCAGCCCGTCCTGCCTGCCCGCGGCCTCGGCCTCGCTGATGAGGCGCTGCAGGGCCGCCCCGCGCTCCTCCAGCGCGCCCAGGTTGCGCTGCTGCCGCGCCTGCAGCGCCTGGTGCCGCTCCTGCAGCTGCCGCAGCAGCAGCAGCTGCTCCCCGGCCAGGAACTGCTGCAGCTCCTCGAAATCGGCCTCCAGCTCCTGCATCTCCGCCTGCATCTGCTCCTGCGGGGGGAAAAATGGGGTGGCGAGAGGGTTTGCGGGTTTTTAGTAGCGGATTGACGGGTTGGAGCGAGGATTTCCAGGGTTTTAACCCCAAATTTCTGTGGTGGAGTGATGATTTCCAGTCCTAGGACACCAAATTTCTGCGTTGGAGCAATGATTTCCACTCCTTTAACCCCAAATTTCCACTCCTTTGACACCAAAGCTGGGGTTGGAGCAACGATTTCCACTCCTTTAACCCCAAATTTCTACTCCTTTAGCCCCAAACTTGGGGTTAGACCAACAATTTCCAGCCTTTTAACCCCAAATTTCAGTGTTGGAGCAAAGATTTCCAGGGTTGGAGTGACAATTTCCAGCCTTTTAACCCCAAATTTCCACTCCTTTAACCCCAAAGTTGGTGTTGGAGCATTTCCAGCCTTTTAACCCCAAATTTCCACTCCTTCAACAATGATTTCCAGCCCTTCTCCCTTAATGGAGAGAAATGAAGAATTGAGAATTGAGAATGGAAGTTCAGGGGACAAAACGGTGCAGAAAATGGGATTTTAGTGCCCTGGCACTGGTTGAAAAGGGACAAAATGGTGCAGAAAATGGGGTTTTAGTGCTCTGGCACTGTTTTTTGGGCTGAAAAGGAATAAATTTGTGCAGAAAATGAGATTTGAGTGTCCTGGGACTCTTTTTTTGGGCCGAAAAGGGATGAATTGGTGCACAGCTCACCCTGAGCAGGGAGATTTTCTCCTCCTCGCTGGATTTCTGTTTCAGCACCGCGTCCAGCTGCCGGCGCAGGGGCTCCAGGTGGCTCTGGAGCTTGGTCTGGGGGAGAGGAGGGGGCTCAGGCTGGGGATTCTGACCCCCAAAAACCCCGGAAAACCACCCAAAACCACCCAAAACCCAGAGAAACGCCAAAAAACCCCCAAACCTCAAATCCCCCTCAATCCCCAGCCACTGAACCGCTCCAGCCAGCGCTGCCCCTGTAACCCTCGTGCCCCAAACCCCCCAAAACCCCAAACAAACCCCCAAAAAACCCCACAAAAACCTCAAAACTCCCCAGATTTTCACCTTGCACTCCTGCAGCGCCTCGTCGAGCGGCAGCACGCTGTGCTGCTTGTGCCCCCGCGCCTCGCGGCACACCACGCAGACCCCGCATGTAAACCCCTTCAAACCCTCCAAACTCCCCCAAAAACACCCCAAACACCCTAAAAACCCCAAATTCTCCCTTTTTCCCCAAACCTTGCACTCCTGCAGCGCCTCGTCGAGCGGCAGCACGCTGTGCTGCTTGTGCCCCCGCGCCTCGCGGCACACCACGCAGATGGGCGCCAGGTCCTGCTCGCAGAAGAGCTTGAGGGGCTCGCGGTGCTTGGGGCAGAGCTCGGGGGGCCCGCCGGGCGCGGGGCCGGGCTCGGGGGCGGCGCCGGCGGCTCCGGTGGCGGTGCCGGTGGCGCCGGGGCCCGGGTGCAGCTGGCGGATGATGTGCACCATGTTGGCCAGCTGCAGGTTGGGCCGGAAGCTGCGCTGCGAGAACGACTTGCGGCACTGCGGGCACGTGAAGGCCGCGGGGCCTTCCTCGGCGTCCTCATCCTCATCCTCCTCTTCCTCCTCCTCCTCGTCCTCGGCCTCCTCCTCCTCCTCCACGTCCTCCTCCATGGCGTCCTCGTCGTAGCCCAGGTAGAGCCCGCCGCCCTCCGCGCCCTCGGCCCAGGCGGCGCCGCCTTCGTCCTCATCCTCCTCCTCCTCGTCCTCGGCGGGGTCTCCCCACAGCTCGCCTTCCTCCTCCTCATCCTCCTCCTCCTCCTCTTCCTCCCACATGTCCTCCTCCTCCTCCTCCTCCTCCACGCCGTCCTCCTCCTCCTCCTCCTCGTGCTCTACATCCAGCTCGTCTTCCTCCAGCTCTTCCTCCTCTTCCTCCTCCTCCTCCTCCTCGAGCTCGGAGCGCTCCGGGCCGGGCTCGGTTCCGCCGCCGCCGCCGCGGGCCCAGAGGCGGGAGATGCAGCCGCGGCAGAAGTTGTGCCCGCAGCCGATGGACACCGGGTCGGCGAAGTAATCCAGGCAGATGGCGCAGATCGCCTCCTCCTGCAGCGTCTCCACCGGGTCCGGCCGCAAGGAACCGGGGCCGCCCAGCGCCAGCGGCGCCGCCATGCCCGGGGGGCGCCTTCCTCCTCCTCCTCCTCCTCTCTTCTTCCTCCTCCTCCGCCCGGCTCAGTCCCCCGGCCCGGGCCGGGCCCCTCTAGGTCTCACCGGGCCCCGCTAGGCCTCACCGGGACCCGCTAGGCCTCACCGGGCCTCCTCACCGGGCCTCCTCACCGGGCCTCGCCGCCGCGGTCCCCCCGCGCTCTCAGGATTCTGGAGGAGCCGCTCGGTGCTCGCTGAATGTCGCCCGGGTCCTGCTCGGTGCCCGCTCGGTTCCCCCCGGTTCTCTTCGGTTCCGTCCGGTTCCTCCCGGGCCGCGCTCGCCCGGCGGCGGCTCCGCCACAGACGGGAAAGGCCGCGGAACTTCCGCCTTCCGGCTTAGGCCATGCCTGTTCCGCCCAATATGACAGGAAGTGGCTCCTGTTGCCGGCGTTTGTCTACCCACGCGACTCGTTGGTCTGGGAGGACTGGGAGTGGAACCGGAAGTGGGCCACTGCCGGATTTTCCCGCGCCCAGCTCAACCCGAGGCGCTCCGAGCTCCCTGGTCCGGGTTCCGCTTCTTTTCCGGGTCCTGGTCCCGCTCCGGTTCCCCCCAGCCGCGCTCGCCTGGCGGCGGCTCCGCCACACACGGGAAAGGCCGCAGAACTTCCGTCTTCTGTTTGGGACCCCGCCTCTTGCGCCCAACGTGACAGGGAGTGATTCTGGTTGCCGAGCAACGGCGGAAGTGCAGGCTTCGCCGCTTCCGCCAGGGTTTGGCTAGCCACGCAACTCGTTGGTCTTGGAGGACTGTGGGCGGCGCCATCTTGGCGGGGCGGGTTTGAGGGCGGGGCCGGGGCGGGGCATTGGCGGCTTTCCCCGCCCTCAGCGCAGCCCGGGGCGCTCCGAATCCCTCGGTTCCGGTTCTGGTCCCGGTTCTTGTCCCGGTCTCGGTTCCGGTTCTGGTCCCGGTTCCTGTCCCGCTCCCGCTCAGGTATTTTTGCCCTTTTTACCCAAAATCCCCTCTTTTCCCCATGGTTTTCCCTTTCCTGGTCTCACTCAGGTATTTTTTCCTTTTTTACCCAAAATCCCCCATTTTCCCCGCGCTTTTCCCTGTCCCGGTTCCAGTCCCGGTTCCGGTTCCTGTCCCGGTCAGGATCCCGGTCCCTCTCGGGTATTTTTTCCCATTTTACCCAAAATTCCTCATTTCGGCCGCGGTTTTCCCTGCCGGCGCGGCGGCCGACGCTCAGCGTTTCTGTAGTGTAGTGGTTATCACGTTCGCCTCACACGCGAAAGGTCCCCGGTTCGAAACCGGGCAGAAACACTTCCCTTTTCCTTCCCGTCTCTTTTTTTTCTTTCTTTTCTTCCCTTTTCCCCTTATTTTTTCCCCCTCGCTCCGGCACTTTGAGCTCATCTGAGCCCTTCTCCCCTCATTTTTCTTTGCGTAATTTTGAATCTCAGCTCTGCTTGCCCTCCCTGCTTTCTCCAGCCAAACTTTCCTTCATCATCCCCAAAAATCCACCGTCCCTCACGCCCTCCTCCTCCTCCTCTTCATCCCCAAAAATCCACCATCCCTCACGCCCTCCTCCTCCTCCTCCTCTTCATCCCCAACATCCACCATCCCTCACGCCCTCCTCGTCTTCATCCCCAGGTCCCAGCACCCACAGGGGAGGAAGCACACCCTCCTCCTCCTCCTCCTCCTCATCCCAAATATCCAACACCCCTGACATCCTCCTCTTTTTCATTCCCCAGGTCCCAGCGCATCCTCTTCCTCCTCATCTCCAATATCCAGGATCCCCGAGGGAGGAAGCACACCCTCCTCCTCCTCCTCATCCCCAATATCCAGGATCCCCGAGGGAGGAAGCACACCCTCCTCCTCCTCCTCCTCCCCAATATCCAGGATCCCAAAGGGAGGACGCTCACCCTCCTCCTCCTGTTCTTCATCCCCAGCACCCGTAAGGGAGGAAGCACACCCTCCTCCTCCTCCTCGGGCCCCATGGCGCTCCCCAGCCCCGCCGAGCAGCTCCGCGCCGCCGCCTCGTGCCCGGTGTGCCTGGAGCTGTTCCGCGACCCCGTCTCGCTGCGCTGCGGCCACAACTTCTGCCGGGGCTGCGTGGAGCGCTGCGGGCCGGGCCCCGGGGCGACGGCGGGGCCGCTCTGCTGCCCGCAGTGCCGGGACGCGGCGCCGGGCGGCGGGAGCGGCGGCCTGAGGCCGAGCCGGGAGCTCGGGCACATCGCGGGCATCGCCCGGGAGCTGCTCCCGGCGCTGCTCCCGGCGCCGCCGCCGCCAGCGGGGACACCGGGGACACCGGGGGACGGCTCCGTGTGCGGGCGGCACCGGGAGCCGCTGCGGCTCTTCTGCCGCGAGGAGCGGGCGCTGCTGTGCGCCGAGTGCGCGCGGGAGCGCCGGGAGCGGCACCGGGAGCGGCACCGGGAGCGGCACCGGGAGCGGCACCGGGAGCAGCAATGGGGACAGCAGCGGGAACAGGACCGGGAGCAGGACCGAGAGCAGGACCGGGAGCAGCAATGGGGACAGCAATGGGAGCAGGACTGGGAACGGCACCGGGAGCAGCACCGGGAGCAGCAAGGGGAACAGCGGGAACAGCCGGAACAGCAGCGGGGACAGCAGCGGGAACAGCAGCGGGAGCAGGACCGGGAGCAGGACCGGGAGCAGCAATGGGGACAGCAATGGGGACAGCAACGGGAGCACCGGGAGCAGCACCGGGAATGGCACCGGGAGCAGCACCGGGAGCAGGACCGGGAGCAGGACCGGGAGCAGCAATGGGGACAGCAATGGGGACAGCAACGGGAGCACCGGGAGCAGGACCGGGAGCAGGACCGGGAGCAGCACCGGGAGCAGGACCGGGAGCAGGACCGGGTGGTGCCCATCGAGGAGGCGGCGCGGGAATACCGGGTGAGAGCCCTGGGGACAGGGACAGCCAGGGGATGCGGACACTCGGGATGGCGACATCCCTGACAGTGCCACTCTGGGATGGGGACACTGAGATGGGGACAGCCAGCATGGGGACAGCTGGACAATGGGGACACCGGGAGTACCGGCTGAGAGCCCTGGGGACACTCTGGGGACAGGGACAGCCCTGACAGTGCCACTCAGGGGATGGGGACACCCAGGAGCTCCTCCCCTCCCTGGACGTGAGGCTGGCTCCGGCTCAGCTCCTCGCTCCTTCTTGGAAAAATATTATTATTATTATTATTATTATTATTATTATTATTATTATTATCATCATCATCATCATCATCATCATCATCATCATCATTATCATTATCATTATATTGTTGTTGTTGTTATTGTTGTTATTGTTATTTCCAAGCTCCTTCTTCTTGCGCAAAGCTTCTCCCATCTCATACAAGGGATAGAGGAAATTTTGGTGGGAAAACAGAATTTTCTCAGCCCCTCTGAGTTCACTTTTTATTTCCCTGCAGGAGCAGATCCAGAGCTGCCTCCAGGCTTTGAAGGAGGAGAGAGAAAAATTCCTGGAAAGCCGAAAATCCGGAGCTTGGAGGAGCCTGCACCTGGTGAGAACAGCTTGGGGGCCGGGTTGGATCTGGGGTTTGGGTCCCTCCCTCTGCCCCAGAGCTGTTTTGAGGCCAAACCTCCCGAATTTGGCTCACGGAGCTTTGGGTTTATCAGCTGGGGTTCAGCTGGGGCTGCACCAGGGAGATAATGAGGGGAGGGAGGGGAGGGAGGTGCCAGGGAAATCCACAAACACCAGAGGTTTGTGCCCAAAAAGGAGACAGGAAAATAAATTAATCCCCAAACACCAGAGGTTTGTGCCCAAAAAGGAGACAGGAAAATAAATTAACCCCCAAACACCAGAGGTTTGTGCCCAAAAAGGAGACAGGAAAATAAATTAACCCCCAAACACCAGAGGTTTGTGCCCAAAAAGGAGACAGAAAATTCCTTTTTCCTTTTTTTTGGCTTTATTCAAATTAAGGGAGAGGCCATGGGGCATTCCTCTGGGATCTCTCAGATTTTTGGAGGACATTGCCTCCTTTTTATCCCAATTTCCCTCTCTTTTTCCCCATTTCTGAGGTACCTGAGAGGTTCAGACTTCCCAAAAGGAATATCACCACAACATTCATTTTAATACCTGAAAAGCCAGCCCTAAAATCCGCGTTTTTTCACCCAGAACAGGACGCGGGGTGAGCAGTGATCCCGACGTGATGAACATCACCACAGCGTTCATTTCAATGCCATAAAAAGCCAACCCTAAAATCCGCGTTTTTCACCCAGGACAGGATGCGGGACGAGGGGCAGCACCTGGCGCGGGAGTTCCGGGAGCTGCGGCGCTCCCTGGAGGAGCAGCAGTGGTGACCCCGACGTGATGAACATCACCACAGCGTTCATTTCAATGCCATAAAAAGCCAACCCTAAAATCCGCGTTTTTCACCCAGGACAGGATGCGGGACGAGGGGCAGCGCCTGGCGCGGGAGTTCCGGGAGCTGCGGCGCTCCCTGGAGGAGCAGCAGCGCCTCCTGCTGGCGCAGCTCGGGGAGCTGGAGGCGGCCATGGCCCGGGGCTGGGAGCAGGCGGCGGGAAAGGTCTCGGAGGAGCTGTCCCAGCTGGACACGCTCATCTGGGAGATGGAGGGGAAATTCCAGCAGCCCCCGAGCCGATTCCTGCAGGTGGGAGCCCCCGGGAGGGCTGGGATTGGGAGGGAGAAAGAGGAATAAATAAAATTCAAAATTAAAAATTCAGTGCCAAAATCGTCCCCTCAGGAGCTCCCCTGGTGCCTTTACCAGGTGGGACAGAGTTGGCACACCTCTGGGAAGTGGTTTGGTGTGGATTAGGATGGGTCCCCTTAAAGCCCCCAAAATCCCCAAATAAATACCCCAAAATCCCCCTGAAAAATCCCCCCAAAATCCCCCCAAAAAACACCCAAAATCCCCAAATAAACCCCCAAAATCTACCCAAAAAATCCCCCCCAAAATTCCACAAGAATTCCCCCCAAAAAAAATCCCCAAAACCCCCCAAACCTCCCCCCCCAAAAAACCCCACCAAAAAAGCCCCAAAAATCACTGAAAACATCACCAAAAATCACTGAAAAATCACAAAAAAAAAATCACCAAAAAATCACCAAAAAAAAAATCTCCAAAAACCCACCAAAAATTAAAAAAAAATCCCAAAAACCCTCCAACCCAAACCAGGCCAGAGTTCTTTGATCCTGGGATTTGTAGGATCACAGATCGCTGTTCCTCCTGTTTAACCATCTCCTCTCTCCTCCCACCTTCAGGACATCCAACAGCTCCTGCACAGGTGAGGCAGCTCCTTCTGCTCCTCTGGGTGAAATTCCCTCAAATTCCCACTCAAATTCCCACTCAAATTCCCACTGAAATTCCCACCCAAATTCCCACTGCACTGCTCCGGGCTCGGGAATTTGGATCTGGGGGGAAGGAAACTGCCCAGGAAGGGCAGGGAAAATATTTTATTTAATATTTTATTTATTATTTTATTTAATATTTTATGTAATATTTTATTGTTCCTGGGAGAATATTTAATGAGAATAAAATTAACCATTGGATTGGGGGATTTTGCCCCTTTTTTTGCCCCCTTTTTGTCACTTTTTTCCCCTTTTTTTTGGCCCATTTTTTGCCCATTTTCCCCCTTTTTTTGCCCATTTTTTGGCCCCGTTTTTGGCAGCTGTGAGACGATGAGGTTCCAGCCCCCGGCTGAGATCTCCCCCGAGCTGGAGAGGAGCCTGGAGGATTTCGCCCAGAGGAACGTCCTGGTGAGGGGCACCTTGAGGAGATGCCAAGGTGGGACAGGGTGGGAAATCCGGGAGGAATGGGGCAAAATCCGGGGTCATTTTGGGGGGGTATCTGTCAGAAATGGGGTTATTTTGTGGGATTCCTGGGAAAAATTGGGTTATTTTGTGAAATTCCTGGCAAAAATGGGATTATTTTGTGGGATACCTGGGAAAAATGAGATTATTTTGTGGGATTCCTAACGGAAATGGGGTTATTTTGTGAGATACCTGGCAGAAATTGTGTAATTTTGTGGGATCCCCGACAGAAATGTTTTTTGGGGTTTTTTTGGGATATCCAGGAACTTTTCACCTGAGGGTTTTCGTGGGCCAAAACCAGCTGGGAAGTGGAGAAGAGGGAAAAAACAGCACAGGTCTCACCCAAAAATCAGATTTGGGGTGGGAAAATCAAATCCCAAAGATCGGAAAAGCCGGGGAGGGGACAGAGAGGGGATAAATCCCCAAATCCTGGGGGTGAGTTTGGCTGGGCCAGGGGTTTATCCCAGGGATAAAGGCAATTTTTGACCCCAAATCCTTGAATTCTCTCTCCCCAGACAGCCTCATGTTCCTGCTGCAGGAGCCGGGTGAGTTTGGGGCAGGAAATTCCAGATTTGGGTTTTTGGGAGAGGCTCCCGTGGGAGGGGACACCAAGGGTGACACCCTGGCTGTGTGCAAACCCAAAACATCCCAAAAAGAGAATTTTCCTCCCTTTTCCTGCCCGGGAATTCCACACTGTGGAACGGGAGCGGGTTGGGATTCGGGGGATTTTTCCCCTTTTTCAGAATGGCATTTTTCAGGGTTTTTTTTCCTTTTTTTCAGAATGGCATTTTTCAGGGGATTTTCCCCTTTTTTCATGGGATTTTTTTCAGGGGATTTTTCCGGGGATTTTCCCTTTTTTCAGGAGTTTTTTCCGGGAATTTTCACCCTTTTTCAGGGCATTTTTCAGGGCATTCCCCCCCCTTTTCAGGGGATTTCCCTCCCTTTTCAGGGGATTTTTTCAGGGCATTTTTCAGGGCATTCCCCCCCCCTTTTCAGGGGATTTTCCCCTTTTTCAGATGGGGATTTTTCAGGGTTTTTTTTTTCCCTTTTTCAGAATGGCATTTTTCAGAAGGGCATTTTTCAGGGGATTTTTCCCTTTTTCAGATGGGGATTTTTCAGGGTTTTTTTTTTCCGTTTTTCAGAATGGCATTTTTCAGAAGGGCATTTTTCAGGGGATTTTTCCCTTTTTCAGAAGGGCATTGTCAGGGGTTTTTTTTGGGCATTTTTTCAGGGGATTTCCCCCCTTTTTCAGAAGGGCATTGTCAGGGGATTTTTCCGGGGTTTTCCCCCTTTTTCCGAAGGGCATTTTCCAGAATGCTGACCCCCCCCTCCCCACCCCTCCGTGTCCCCGCAGCCTCGCTCACCCTGGACCCCGACACCGCCCACCCTCACCTGCACCTGTCGGCCGACGCGCGGGAGGCGCGGGGGCAGCTCCGGCCCCGCGACGCCCCCGACCACCCCGAGCGCTTCGACTTCGAGCCCTGCGTGCTGGCCCGGGGCGGCTTCACCTCGGGCCGGCATTTCTGGGAGGTGGAGGTGGGCCAGGGCGGGGTGTGGGCGCTGGGGGTGATGCGGGAGTCCTCCCGCAGGAGGGGCCCCCTCAGCCTGACCCCCAAGGAGGGCGTTTGGGCGCTGGAGGCCTTCCACTCGCTGACGTCGCCCCGCGCCAGGCTGCGCCTGCGCCCGCCGCCGCGCCGGCTCCGCGTGGCGCTGGACTACGAGGGGCGCCGCGTGGCGTTCTTCAGCGCCGGCGACGACGTGCCCATCCTCGAGTACACCCGCGCCGCCTTCCGCGGAGAGCGGCTCCGGCCCTGGTTCAAGATGGGCCTGGGCGCGCGGCTGCTCGAGGTGACGCGCGGCGAGCGCTGCCAGGACCGCGCCGTGGCCGGCAGGGTCGTGTGCCCCCTGGACTGGGTGGGATTCGGGTTCTCCATGCGGATCTGCTCCTGAGGGGATGAGTCCCAGGTGATTCCAACCCTTTGAGTCCTGGATTGGGTGGGATTCGGGTTCTAGATGAGGATCTGCTCCTGAGGGAATGAATCCTGAATGATGCCACCCCTCTAAGTCCTGGACTGGGTGGGATTCAGGTTCTCCATGAGGATCTGCTCCTGAGGGGATGAGTCCCAGGTGATGCCGCCCCTCTGAGTCCTGGACTGGGTGGGATTCAGGTTCTCGATGAGGATCTGCTCCTGAGGGGATGAGGGGATGAGTCCCAAGTGATGCCGCCCCTCTGAGTCCATCGGGAGGTCTGAGATGGCCCCAGGAGGAGCCCGGTTTGGTGTGTGGGGTTTTTACCTTGTTGTGCCCTTGGTGGGATGGATCCTCCCCAATTTCCTCTTTTCCCAAAGTTTCAGAACCCAGAAATTCCTCTGGCTACCCTGGAGGACTCGAGCTCATTCCCAGGGGGCTCAGAGACCCTGGCACAGAGCCCAAGACCCCCGTGCCTTTGATTGGGAAAAACAATTACCAACCTTTATATGGAGAATTACAAGCCACGAAAGTTTAAGTGGAATGATAGTGAATTTATCACAGGGTGAAAAAATAGATTTTTGGGGTTTTTAGAATGGGACAAGATGGAGGAATCTGGGCGTGTCCAGCCTTTCTTCTTGGCCTGCGTCTTCTGCTGTGATGTTGGCACTTTTGGTTTGCCTTAGAGAAGAAGCTCATTGTGTATTTAATTTTTATTTAATTTTAATATTGTAGGTTTTTTTATTTTTAATTTTAATATTGTAGTTAATTTAAGTATTGTAGTTTTAAATAGTGTGTGTGTAAATATTGTAATTTTTTGTATAAAAAGATAACACCACCCTGGGGGCGGGCAGAGTGCCTCTGTCTGTCCTGCTGAGAGGACCTCGGCTGGACGGCAGAAATAATTTTATAGATAAAATAAATAAAAATAAATAAAATAAACAACCTTGAGAATGAGAAATGAAGAGTTCTGACTCCTTCTTGACTGAGAAAAGAGACTTTTTAACTTATCTTGGGGTCATTCTGAGCAGCAGAGACCCCAAGACCAAAATGTTTTTTGTCCAGGGGGCGTCCTGAGCTCTTCACCCCTCACTTTGGGGGCGGTTTCCACATTCCTAGCATTTGTAATTTTATTTTTCTCAAATAAAAGGATGTTTCGTGGTTTCCTGTGTTTTATTTTTCTCAACTAAAAGGATGCCTCCCCACCGGGATTTCCTCTGGATTTTTGAGTCTCTGGGTGATAAATCAGGAAAATCCACATGGGATGAGGAAACCTCGCTGAGCTTCCTCCTCCCCAGCCGCTCACACCCAATTTTCACTTTATTTACCCATGCAAACCCAATTTATCCACTCACACCCAATTTTCACTTTATTTATCCCCAAAACCCCAATTTTTACTTTATTTATCCCCAAAAAATGCTGGGGAGGGATGAGGTGGGACCAGCCCCAGGGCCGGCGGTGCCTCAGCCTGGGCAGGGGCAGGACACGAATTCTGGCCATTTCTGCTGTTTTCACAGACATCAATTTCCTCAAGAACACGCAATTTTCTTCCGAGGAAACCCAAAAGAGGAAGCGGCAGCAGCGAAACTGCCCCAAAATTAATTCCGGAACCGAGAAGAGGAACCGGGAGCGACGCTGGGCCCGGAAAAACCGGCACGGGATGGGTTGGGGACTTTCCCCTTTTTCCCTTGGATTTGCCCCATTTCTGGTCCCACTCAGCCCCAGGAGCTCCTCGCCCACCCGGATCCCATTTCTCCAGGGTTTTTGGGGATCCTTTGGGTGCAGGAGCTACTCACCCACCCGGGTCCTGTTTCTCCAGGGTTTTTTTGGGATGATTTGGGTGCAGAAGGAGCGGGGCGGAGCAGCTGGAGGGATGAAAACCTGGAATTCTGATGAGGAAAAGCCGGGAGAGCCCAAGGGGGACCCGAGGCGTGGCACGGATCCACCCGGGACAGGGAGGGAGAGCCGGGAAGGACCAAACCCGGCCGGGTCCGGATCCCCAGGGAGGGAATTCCAGCCGGGATTCGGCTTCGTGAGCCGGGGGAGGAAGACTCCGAGGAAGGAGAGCGGCCCTGGAGGACCTGGTAGGTGCCACCTGCTGACCCTGGGGACATTTGGGAAGAATTTGTCACAATTTGGGCAGAATTGGACCCAACTGGGGCAGAATTTGTCCCAATTGGGACAAAATTTGTCCTGATTTGGGCAGAATGTGTCCCAATTTGGGCAGAATTTGTCCTGATTTGGGCAGAATTTACCCCAATTTGGGCAGGATTTGACCCCATTTGGGCAGAGCTTGACCCCATTTGGACAGAATTTGACCCAGTTTGGGCAGAGTTTGTCCCAATTTGGGCAGAATTTGATCCGATTGGGGCAGAATTTGACTCCATTAGGGCAGAATTTGATCTACTTTGGGCAGAATTTTACCTGATTTGGGCAGGGATCTGTGGGGATTTGAGTCAGGGTTTGACTCCAGGGTTTTTTTCCCCATGGGAAATTCCTTTCCATGAGTTCCTGGTGGTATTTCCCACCCCATTTTTCCTTATTTTTGCAATTTAAAAGCCCTACTGCCCAAATTCTGTCAAATTCTGCCCAAAATTGAGCTCCTCTCACTCCCACAGCTGCAAGATCTGAAAAATGAGCTGGAGAAGAGGCAGGCGAAAAAAACCCCGGAGATTTCCCACCAGGAAACCCCAGAACAGGGTCAGGAGGAGAAGAACCAGCAGCAGGTGAGGGAATTCTCCTGTTCTGAGGGAAAATCTGGGGAAAAGGGAATTAAACCCCCCTGGGAGGGCTGGCGGTTCCCGAAATTCCCGAATAATTCCATTTTCTGTGATTTTGAGGGATCTCAGGCTGAGCTGCCTCTTGTTTCTCTCTTCCCCCAGGATGTGAAGAGCTCCATCAGCAGGTTTGTGATTTCTTCTCCCTGGAAAATCTTTTCCACGAGTTTTCCCTGGAGGAATGGAGGAGGGAACTCGGAACTCAGCTCCTTTTGGGATGTGCTGATCCGCTGGGATCTGGTCTCAAAAATCACAAAATAATTTAAAACACTTGGCTCTTTGCTCCGGCCCAAAATTCCCCCGACAAATTTCTTCCTTCCTCATAAAAAATTTAGAAAAAAATTAGAAAAAAAGTTAGGTTTAGAAAAATGAGAAAAAAAATAGGTTTAGAAATAATTTAGGTTTAGAAAAAAAGAAAATTTAGGTTCAGAAAAGGAAATTAATCCAACAGGGAAATCTGGCCTTTGATCTCCTGGATTCCCAAGGGAAAGGGGGGAAATTAAATCCCAAAATTCCAGCAGCACCAGCCCTCATTGCTGGCGGCTCCTGAGAAGTGTCAGGGGGGGTTTTGTCGGTTTTGTTTTAATTTATTTCTAATTCCAGGTGTGGGAAAGTGACTTTCCAGCTGCCCCTGGACGCGGCTCCGGGGCTGGAAGAGCGAGTTTGTCACTTCTCGTGGAGGAGCAGCGCCCTGAAGGAAACCCTGAGGAAGCTCCAAGGTACCCAGTGGGAGAACAAAAACAGATTTAAATTGTATTTTGGGAGAGCTGGAGGAGCTGAGCTGCCCTTCTCCCATCCTGGACCCCGACACGGCGCACCCCCAGCTGGCGCTGTCGCAGGACAGGAAGAGCATTTGGTCCAAAGGCAGGGGAGGAAAACCCTTACAAAATCACAAATTAGCACTCCAAATTAGGAAAACACACCCCAACACTGACCCCAGCTCTGTCCCCCCACAGCCAGCGTGACCCTGGACCCCAACACAGATGGGAAGAGCATTTGGTTTAAAATGGGGGGAGGAAAACCCTTGCAAAATTACAAATTAACATCCAATTAACATGACAATTAATCCCCCAGCACTGACACAGCTCTGTCCCCACAGCCAGCGTGACCCTGGACCCCGACACGGCGCACCCCGAGCTGGTGCTCTCCGAGGACGGCAAGAGCGTTTGGCGCGGATCCTCGCCCCGCCTGCTCCTGGACCGCCCTGAGCGCTTCGACCACTGGCCCTTCGTGCTGGGCCGCCAGGGCTTCGCGTCCGGGCGCCACTGCTGGCACGTGGACGTGGGCGACGGCGGCGACTGGGCCGTGGGCGTGGCGCGGGACTCGGTGCCCAGGAAGGGGCGGCTGAGCCTGGGCCCGCAGGGCGGGATCTGGGCCCTGGAGAAGTGGGGCGCGCAGCTGCGGGCGCTGACGGCGCGCAAGGCGACCCCGGTGGCGCCGCGGTGGCTGCCGCGCCGGGTCAGCGTGCACCTGGACTGCCACGGCGGCTCCGTGGCCTTCCTGGACGCCGAGGACGGGGCGCTGCTCTTCGTCTTCTCCCGGGCGGCCTTCGGCGGGGAGAGGCTCCGGCCCTGGCTCTGGGTGGTGGGGGCCCGGTCGCGGCTGCGCGTGTGGCCCTGAGGGGAAACGCCCCCCAAAATTCACAGAAAATTGGGTGGGTTTGGGTGTGGGTTACAGTTAGTGTTAGGTTAAGGTTAGTTTGGGGTTTGGGTTTGGGGTTAATATTAGGGTTAGTTTCGGGTTAGAGTTAAGGTTAGAGTTAGGTTAGGGTTAGAGTTAAGATTAGGGTTAGGTTAGGGTTAGGGTTAGGGTTTGGATTTGGGTTTGGATTTGGGTTATGGGTAGGCTTTAGCTTAGCTTTAGGGTTTAACCCATTTGGTTAGGGTTACAGTTAGCATCAGGGTTAGGTTAGGTTTAGGGTTAGGCTGGCGTTAGGAGTAGGGTTAACGTTCGGTTTAGGGTTAAGGTTATGTTAGGGTTAGGGTTAGGTTTAAGATTAGGGTTAATTTTAGGGGAAAATGAGGCACTAAACAGGGAAGGATCTGTGGAGAAGGAACTGTGGGTCAGAGTAATTTGGAAGAAGGGGAAAATGGGAGAAATTGGAATGGAAAGGCCAATTTTTCCAAGTCTTGCCTGTCTGGCTGTAGACAATCCCACCTCCAAACCAAGGACTCTAAAGTTACATTTTTTTATGTAATAGTGGAGTTGGTCTTTTCTTTCTGAAAAAGGTCCCTGTGGTGACCATGTCTGTGGATTCCATGTTTTATATAGTTAATAATAAAAATAATAATTAATAATAATTTTTAAATTGTGATTTCCCCCTCTGTGTCCTTCCTGAGTGCCAGCAGTGGGACGTGGCCTCCAGGGAGAAGGGACAGGGACAGTCCCTGGGACACCTGCTCGGGGCTTGTGGCTCTTCCAGGGCACAAACACAAATGGGGTTTAATTAAACAAATTAAATTAACTAAACAAATTAAACAAATGGGGTTTAATTAAACAAATTAAATTAACTAAACAAATTAAACAAATGGGGTTTAATTAAACAAATTATGTTCAATTAAACAAATGGGGTTTAGTTAAACAAATGGGGTTTCATTAAACAAAATTCCAGCTTGATCTCGACACCCAGCGGCAGCAAACACCAGACAGAGAAGTTGAAACATGCAAATTTTGGGTTTTTAATTAATCCAAAGCCAGAGGGGAGGAGAGAAAAGGGATTGGGGTGGCGCAGGACGGGGTGGGACAGAGGTAGCTCCGTTTTCAGCCCCCAGATTTGGGGGTGACACCTCAGGCCAGCGACCCTGAGGGATGCTCAGCGACTCCAGCAGCCACAAATCCCCGGGAGAGCCGGGAATGGTGAGAAAACCCCCGGATTTGGGGGCGCTCAGGGGCACAGGGTGATGCGGGCGCCCTCTCCCCACACCAGGAACCAGGGGCGGACGCTCTGCCCCTGGAACGAGGCCGCCGGGAAGGCGAAGATCAAACTCCTCTCGTCGGCATCGAAAAACGCCACCTGGCCGCTCTCGTAGTCCAGGGCCACCCTCACCCTGCCGGGCACCCGGGCGAGGAACAGCGGGACGCGCTCCAGGGAGGTGAGAGCCCAGAACTGGCCCTGGCAGAGCCCCATGGACCAGAGCTCCCACTCGGAGCCCCCAGGGGTCTCTGTCCCACTCCCGGGGGTCTCTGCCCCATTCCAAGGGGTCTCTGCCGCATTCCCGAGGGTCTCTGTCCCACTCCCGGGGGTCTCTGCCCCATTCCAAGGGGTCTCTGCCGCATTCCCGAGGGTCTCTGCCCCACTCCCGGGGGTCTCTCTCCCACTCCCAAGGGTCTCTCTCCCACTCCTGGGGGTCTCTGCCCCATTCCCGAGGGTCTCTGCCCCACTCCCGGGGGTCTCTGTCCCATTCCCAAGGGTCTCTGCCCCATCCACAGGGGTCTCTGCCCCATTCCCGGGGGTCTCTGCCCCACTCCCAAGGGTCTCTCTCCCATTCCCGAGGGTCTCTGCCCCATTCCCAAGGGTCTCTGCCCCATTCCCGGGGGTCTCTCTCCCACTCCCAAGGGTCTCTCTCCCACTCCCGGGGGTCTCCCTGGCCACCCCCAGTGCCCAGGACCCCTCTGGTGCCACCCGCACGTCCCAGCAGCGCCTCCCGCCCGTGACGCCCTCGCGGCCCAGCACGGAGGGGTCGGTGCCGGGGTTGGGTTCGGGTCCGTCCCCGGGAGGGTCCCGGGCTCTTTCCCAGCTGACGCTGCTCCCGTCGGGCGCCACGAGGAGCTGCGGGTGGGCGGTGCTGGGGTCCAGCGTCACCGTCACTGCGGCAGAGGGGATTCCGTGGGGCCTGCCTTCCCCGCGGGGCTTTTCCCCTCATCTCCCATCACTTCCCCCCTCATTTTCCACTCATTTCCCATCATTTTCCCCTCATTATTTCCCCTCATTTTCCCCTCATTATTTCCCCTCATTTTTCCCTCATTTTCCCATAATTTCCCCCTCATTTTCCCATCATTTTCCCCTCATTTCCCATCATTTCCCCCCTCATTTCCTCCTCATTTTCCCTTCATTATTACCCCTCATTTCCCCCTAATTTTCCCCTGATTTTCCCCTCATTTCTCTTCATTTTCTCCTCATTTCCCCCTAATTTCCCCCTCATTCCCCCTCATTCCCCCTCATTTTCCCCCATCCCAGGACTCACTTTTCTCCGGCAGCTCGAAGGCCAGGATGTCTGAAAAAAGGGGAGAAAGGGAGACATGGACTGATAAAAAAATACATGATTTTTGCAATAAATTGCAATAAAAAACTGATTGCCATTAAAATAATCACAATGAGTTACCACACGCACTCTAAGTACACAAATATAATTTATGGATACACGTAAGCATAGTAATTATATAATAAACTTTAAATTAATTTTAATTATTAAACTTATTTTATTAAAAAAATAAAATTTTTTATTAAGAAATTTAAAATTGCATTATAATGCAATTTTTATATATAATAAAATCAATTAAATTAATCTCTTCATCCCCCAGCCTGCCCCAATACCTCGGAATCTCCTCAGCGTCTCCTCCAGAGGAACATTTTCCTCCCTGAAATGTTGAATTTTATTTTCCAAATCTGGCAGAGGCGACGGGGGCAGCTGGAAATTTTCATTTCTGAGGCTGGAAAAGGACGGAAAAAAGAGGTTGAGGATCCACCCCGGAGGGAATTCCCTGTGCACACCCACAGGTTTGGGCACAAAACCGGATATTTTGGTCTCCAAACGAGGCCAAACCAGGGATTTGGGCACAAACCCGAATATTTTGGTGCTCAGGAAGCCCCACCCTTACCTGCTCAAGGTGCTGCTGATGTCCTGGAGGGGAGAGAAGGGACACGGGGCACGGTGAATCACTCGGAATCATGTGAAAAATTAAATTTTTGGGGTTTTTAGAATGGGGGTTCAGGGAGCAAAATGGAGGGATCTGGGCCAGCCTTTCTCCTCCTTCTTCTTCTTGGCCTCCATCTTCTGCTGAGATGGTTTAGAGTAGAAATTTTAGATTGGTTTAGAGTAGAAATTCACTGTCTATTTAATTTTTATTTAATTTTAATACTGTAGGTTTTTTTATTTTTAATTTTAATATTGTAGGTAATTTAAATATTATAGTTTTTTGTATAAAAAGGTAACACCACTCCAGGAAGGCAGAATGATTCTGTCTTGCTGAGAGGAGCTCGGCTGGACAGGAGAAAAAAATTTATATATAAGATACAATAAACATTGATACAATAAAAAAAAAGATAAAATAAAATTGAGAATGATAAATGAAGAGCTTTGACTCCTTCTTGGCTGGGAAAAGAGACTTTCCAACTTTTCTAAGAGACTTTACAACTTTTCTGAGACTTTACAACTTTTCTGAGAGTTTCCAGCCTTTCTGGGGACAAGAAATTTTCTCTGGGAAAAGAGACTTTCCAACTTTTCTCAGGAAAAGAGACTTTCCAACTTTTCTTAGGACAAGAAATTTTCTCTGAGAAAAGTGACTTTTTAACTTTTCTAAGAGACTTTCCAACTTTTTTAAGAGGCTTCCCAACTTTTCTCGGGACAAGAATCTTTCTCTGGGTAAAGAGACTTTTTGACTTTTCTCAGGACAGGAAACTTTCTCCGGGAAAAAAGACTTTCCAACTTTTCTAAGAGACTTTCCAACTTTTCTAAGAGGCTTCCCAACTTTTCTCGGGACAAGAATCTTTCTCTGGGCAAAGAGACTTTCCAACTTTTCTGGGGACAAGAAATTTTCTCTGGGAAAAGTGACTTTTTGACTTTTCCCAGGACAGGAAACTTTCTCCGGAAAAAGAGACTTCCCAACTTTTCCAAGAGACTTTCCCGCTTATGTTGGGGGTGGCTGTGGCAGCCGAGCCCCGGTCCCCGCCGTCACCTGCAGGAAGGGGCCGGCCGGCAGCCGCGGCCGCCGCTGCAGCTCCAGGGCGCGGCTCTCGAGCCGGGAGATCTCCTGGGTCAGCGCCGTCGCCGTCTCCTCCTGCGCCCGCGCGAGGGCGCTCTCGAGGCGCCGCAGCCGCGCCAGGAGGCGCCGCCAAAGCTCCTCCAGGCACAGGCGCAGCCCCTGGAAATGCGACAGGAGGCGCTGCCGCTCCGCCTCCGTCCGCTCCTGCCGGGGGCGGGGGAGAGGAAATTTGGATTCGGATTCGGATTTGGATTTTTAGTCAAAGCCCCTCCCTGCACAGAGACCCGGCCGCCCCACTCTAAACCCATCGGGACACACCCCTGCCCGAGATATAAAATTTAACGGATTTAGGGATTTTATAGGAGCTGAGGTTTTAGTTAGAGATAAGATTTATTTGAGTTAATCAAAATAAATGATGGAGTTAAGAGTTAGTAGTTAACTATATAATATAATAAATATTATATTATATTATATTATATTATATTATATTATATTATAATTGATTGCTTGCACACACAATGTTTGGTTAGCTGGGTTTGTAATGAAGAATATAGAAACTGATAAATAGCTTTTAGGAACATGAGACAATTGTTTTTGGGAACATGACTCAGGAGTCCATCAGGAGACACCCCCGCCTAAAATCTAAATTTTAAAGGATTTAGGGATTTTATAGGAGCCGAGGTTTTATTCAGAGATAAGCTTTATTGGAGTTAATCAAAATAAATGATGGAGTTAAGAGTTAGTAGTTAACTAATAATTGATTGCTTGTCAACACAATGTTTGGTTAGCTGGGTTTGTAATGAAGAATATAGAAACTGATAAATGGTTTTTAGGAACACAAGACAATGGTTTTTAGGAACATGAGACAATTGTTTTTAGGAACATTATACAATTGTGGCCTCCTCTGTTCTGAAACCAACTGAAGATGGGGAATGGGAGTTCTGCCAACGGGTTCATTTGTCACATTTGCATTGAAAAGGTAGAAGGGTCAGAAGGAGGAAGACTTCATTTATTTCCTCGTTTTGGGACTCCTCCCCATGAAAGGGACCACCGACTCATTTTGAGGAACAAACTACGCATGCTTAATTAGCTTTTGAACTAATTGCCATACAAAGCGGGGGACTGGGATGTACCAAAGTTATGAATATGTAATTTTATTTTGGGTATTCAATACTTGTGCAGATAAAAGGGCTCTGGAATCACCTGTAAATCGTGGTGTGAATTTGAGAACTATCCTGAAATTCACTTTCTAACTTTAAACTGTCAGAGAGTCTTTGTCCGTCACAGTTGGATATCGGTACTAGATCAATATCCATATTTTTAATAAATCACGCCCCTCCGCTCCACAGCATTTACCAAACACTCCCAGTTTCTCCTCATTTCAGCCTCCCGGAGCTCCAGGAGTTTGTCCCTGTCGTCCTTCAGGGTTTGCAGCCGGGCCTGGATTTGTTCCTGAGGGAGGGAAAAATATAAAAATCCCGTTTTTTGGGAAGGGGGTTGGAGTGCTGGTAACTCCGTTTCTCCTCCCATTTCCAGGAAAAAAAATCCCACTATTTTTGCCCATATTCCTGCAGATTTAGGGATAGTCTGCAGGAAAATTGTCCCACTCTTTTTTGCCCATATTCCTGCAGATTTAGGGATGGGCTCCAGGAAAAAAAATCCCGCTCTTTTTGCCCACATTCCGGCAGATTTAGGGATGGGCTTCATGAAAAAAAATCCCGCTCTTTTTGCCCCCATTCCTGCAGATTTAGAGATGGGCTCCATGAAAACCATCCCGCTCTTTTTGCCCACATTTCGGCAGATTTAGGGATTTGGTTCCCGCTGGGCGCTGGAGCTGGACAGCGGCCGGAATTCCGCAGCACGGAGGATGAGGAGGAGGAGGATGAGGAGGAAGAGGATGAAGCCCCCGATCCCTCCAAGCTCGGGGGAGAACAGAGAGAGCAGAAGCCGCGGAGCGTGTCCCGATCCCCTAAAGGGTCTGGGGGCACGGGGGGACATTTTTGGGTGGAAACCGCGATTACCTCGAACTCCCGCACCGCCTCCGGCAGCGGCAGCACCGTGTGCGCTCGGTGCGCCCGCGACTCGCGGCAGATGGCGCACAGCAGAGCCGCGTCCTCCTTGCAGAAAGCCTCCAGCGGCTCCCGGTGCCGCCGGCAGCCTTCCTCCTCCTCCTCCTCCTCCTGGGCGCCCAGCGCCTCCCCGCGGCTCAGGCGCCGGGCCAGCTCCAGCACCCGCTGCAGCTCGCGGCTCGGGCGGAGGCTCCGCCGCGGGGCCGTGTCCCGGCAGCGCGGGCACGCGAACGCGCCCGTGGGCCACTCCCAGCAGCGCTCGATGCACGCCCGGCAGAAGTGGTGCCCGCAGTGGATGGACACGGGGTCGCGGAAATATTCCCGGCAGATCGGGCAGGAGGCCTCGCCCGGCAGCTCCTCCATGGCTGCCCGGAGCCGCCGCCGCCGCTTTCGGTTTCCCCGCGTGCCGGGGGAGGCGGCGCCTTCCTGTCCCTGGAGGGGATGGGGATGGAGGGTGGGAGGTGGCCAAAATCCGCCTGAGTGAGCCCAAAATCCTGGGGCTGAGGATGGAGAGTGGGAGGTGGCCAAAATCCGCCTGATTGAGCCCAAAATCCTGGGGCTGAGGATGGAGGGTGGGAGGTGGCCAAAATCCGCCTGAGTGAGCCCAAAATCCTGGGGCTGAGGATGGAGGGTGGGAGGTGGCAAAAATCCGCTTGATCGGCCCCAGACTCCTGGGTCTGAGGATGAAGGGTGGGCACAGGCCAAAATCCTCCAGATTGGCCCCAAACTCCTGGGTCTGAGGATGGAGAGTGAGAAGTGGCCAAAATCTTCCTGATTTGGCCCCAAAATCCTGGGCCTGAGGATGGAGGGACCCACATCCATCAGGCGGGAACTTCCCACCCTTGTCCTTGCATTTTTTTAAAATAAATTTAAATTCAGATTTTAGGGAATTTTTATTGAGGTTTTTCCCCCGAAACGGTGAGAAGAGGAGGCAGGCTGATCCCAGCCCTGGATTTACTCACACCTAGAAGAAATTGGGCAAAATCCTGCAGAAAAACTTGGACTAGTGATTTTATTTTCCTCTGGCACTGAGCAAATCTCTCCTTGCCGGTCAAACCCGAGCCTCCAGCTCGTTCTTGAGCCCGAGAATTCACGGTGATCGCACCGGGATAATCACCGATTTCATGGACAATCAAGGAGGGAAACCGCTTGGAAAGGGGATCCTGATCCATCCCCAACTCTTTGCAGGACTCACCCCCCGATAAATCAACCTTGGACCCAGATTAACGAAAAAAAAAAAGATAATAATAAAAAAAACGTTGTTTTCAGCACCAAGCCGCCCCTCAGGTTTCAGTCTGAATGTTCCAAGCACCGGAAAACCCAGAACCCCCCAAAAACTCTCTCACAGAATTAACGGCGGGTGAGTTTTTGACCGATTTCCTCAATAAAAAAGGAAAAAAAAAAAAATCATCGCTTCGGTACCAGCCCCGAGTTCCGGTGGCTTCTGCACTTGTCAGGGGGGGCTACTGGAAAAAAAGGAAAGTTAAAAATAAAATTAAAAATAGGAAGGTCTGTGGTCAGCCCCGAGCCGTGAGAGAAGCGATTTCCTGTGAAAAAGGAGAAGTGAAAGGAGCACTAAAATTATTTTTGAATAAAGGTGCTGTAGCTGCACACGTAGGGGTGGGGGTGTTGGAGTGCTGAAAAATGGGGAATTTGGGAATTCTGAACAATCGGGAATGAGCAGCAAAGGATGAGCCAAGGATTGCTCCAAGCTCTGTCCCCACGGCCTCAATCATGAACTGCCCTTCAATTAATCTAGAAGAGAATCAATAAATTAAACACTCCTGTAAATTAAATTTATCGATGAGTAAATTAAAAATAAATACATTGAAAGCAGCGAAACCAGGCTGGTTCCCGGTTCAGACCTCGAGGGGAGGCCTGGGGCGGCCTTGCGCTTTCCCTGGGTGTTTTTTGGGGGAGAAAGGAGTGAAAAAGGGGCTGAGGGTGGATTCCAACCGAGCCGGTAAATGATGAATGAACACGATGTCAAACCTGGTGCCAAGCCCGGTATTAGACCTGGTACCAAACGAGCCGGTGCCAAGCCCGGTGTCAATTCCGGAGCCAAGCCTGGTATTAGCCCCAAACAAGCCGGTGTCAAACCCGGTATTAACCCCGGTGCTAAGCCCGGTATTAGCCCTGGCGCCGAGCCCGGTGCTAAGCCCGGTATTAGCCCTGGTGCCGAGCCCGGTGCTAAGCCCGGTATTAGCCCCAGCGCCAAACAAACCGGTGCTAAGCCCGGTATTAGCCCCAGCACCAAACAAACCAGTGCTAAGCCCGGTATTAGCCCCAGTGCCAAACCACCCGCGCCACGCCCGGCGCCGAGCCCGGCTCATCTCGGCAGCGCAGCCGCTCCGCTCCCGCTCTCAGCCCGGGACACCGGCAGGAAGCGGAGCCGCCGCGGCCCCGGGGGAGACGGAACCGGGGAGGACCCCGGGCGGAACCGAGGCGGAACCGAGGCGGAACCGAGGAGGAACCGGGGCGGAACCGAGGCGGACCCGAGGCGGACCCGAGGCGGAACCGGGGCGGACCCGAAGAGGAACCGGGGCGGAACCGAGACGGAACCGGGGCGGACCCGGTCCGGCGCCGGCGGCGCGGCCATGGCCGAGCTCCGCGCCGAAGCCTCGTGCCCGCTGTGCCTCGGGCTCTTCCAGGAGCCCGTGTCCATCCACTGCGGGCACAACTTCTGCCGGGCGTGCATCGAGCGCTGCTGGCGGAGCTGCCGGGACAGCTTCGCGTGCCCGCGCTGCCGGGAGGCGGCCCCGGAGCGCAGCCTGAGACCCAACGCGGAGCTGGCCGGCATCATCCGCATCGCGCAGCGCCTCAGCCTCCGCGGCCGGGCCCGCGACGGGGAGCGGCTCTGCCCGAAGCACGGCGAGGCCCTGAAGCTGTTCTGCGAGGAGGAGCAGAGCCCGGTGTGCCGCGAGTGCCGCCGCTCCCCGGAGCACCGGCTGCACGCCGCCGTGCCCATCGAGGAGGCGGCGGAGGAGCACAAGGTGGGGATGTCCAGGTGATCCTGGGGGTGAGAGATGAGGGGGAGGCAGGTGAGCGTGTTTTTCCTTGGAAAAGTCGGGATTTTTTGCGTTTTCCCCCGGTTGGATGACAGCCGCCGCCATCCCCGCCCGCCCTGCGCTCCCGGTGTCGCCGGATGGAGGGAAAGGCACGGAGCTGGTGTCGGTGCTTCTCCCCCGGATGGAGGGAAAGGCACCGAGCCGGTGTTGGTGCTTCTCCCCCCGATGGAGGGAAAGGCACGGAGCTGGTGTCGGTGCTTCTCCCCCCGATGGAGGGAAAGGCACCGAGCCGGTGTTGGTGCTTCTGCCCCGGGTGGAGGGAAAGGCACCGAGCCGCTGTTGGTGTTTTTCCTTCTCTCAGGAGAAATTCCAGGCTCACGTGCAGATCCTCAGGGCCCGGAGAGAGAAGATGCTGGGGCAGAAGGCGGCGGAGGAAGGGAAGAGCTCGGAGCTGCTGGTTGGTGACCCTTCCCTTGTCCCTGCGGGCACACCTGGGCACACCTGGGCACACCTGTGCCCGCCGCCGCCCTCGCGGCGAGGAAATTCCCCCCCGTGAGTTCAGGTATCCAACCCAAACCTGGATTTTTTCCCAGGATTTTTGCCTCTTTCCATATGCTCACAAGTGGGGCACATCCCCAGATTCCCCAGAAAAACGGGAATCACCCCAGTTGCATCTTTGTTTTTTTGCCTTGTTTTCCTTTTCCCTGATCTCTAACACTGACTAATCTGTTTATGGGTTTATTTTGCACCTTCCCTCGTCCAAAGGTCTGGAGCCTTTTTTGGGTGCAAAGTTTACGGGCCATGGGAAAACGCTTTGCCAGCAATCGCCGCCTAGAAATGGCAGAAAAAAACCCCAAAAAACCCCAAAACCAATCAAACAAAAAATCACATATATATAAAAATAAAAATATAATATATATTTATATATTGTAGATAAAATACATATAATATAAAATATATAATATATATTTTATATATAACATAACATAACATAACATAACATAATATATATACATTAAAAAAAAAAAATATATATATATATAATTTAAAGAATTATTTAAAATTCTGTGGATACTCCCCATGCTTTGCAAGAACGCTGGCGGTGACAAATCCCCTCCTAGGCCCACCCCGCTGGCGTTTCCCTCCCTCCCAGCCCCGTCCCAGCCCCGTCCCAGCCCGTCCCGTGTTCCCGTGGCAGGAGCGGGTGGCGGCGGAGCGGCGGCGGCTCCGGTGCCGGGTGCGGGAGCTGCAGCAGCTCCTGGAGGGGCAGGAGCGGCTCCTCCTGGCGCGGCTGGCGCAGCTGGAGCGGGACATCGAGCGCCGGCGGGAGGAGAGCGTCGGGCGCCTCTCGGAGCGCATCTCCTCCGTGGGACGGCAGATCCAGGAGCTGGAGGAAAAGTGCCGGCAGCCGCCCTGGGAGCTGCTGCAGGTGAGGAGCCACCGAAACACCAAATCCCGAGCCTTGGAAAACCCAGAGAATCCCAGGTTTGCGCAGGAAGGGGCCTCACAGAGCCACAGCAAACACACCTTCCGCTGGGCTGTGCTTCTCCACCCTGGAGATATAAAAAATTCCTTTGGCTGAACAGCCAAACTTTCAAAAATCCAAACATTCAAATATCCAAATATCCAAACATTTAGACACCCAAACATCCAAACACCCAAATTTTCAAATATCCAAACATTTAAACAGCCAAACATTCAAACACCCTTATATTCAAATATCCAAATTTTCAAACAGCCAAACATTCAAACAAACAAACTTTCAGATATCCAAATATTTAAACACCCAATCATTCAAGCACCCGAACATTTAAACAGCCAAACATTCAAACATCCAAACACTCATATATTCAAACAGCCAAACATTCAAATGAGCAGAGATGCTAATTAGCAGCCGCCACGCCCACCCTGGGCGGGGCGATGATGCCGATAACCCAGCTGCTTATCAGAGCTGCCTCACCTGCATTCCCGCAGATCCGGAATCCCCCAGGGTCACCCCGGAGCCCTCCCTGGGTGCTCACCCCGGGCTGGCTCCGCCCTGACCTGTCCGTCCGTCCGTCTGTCTGTCTGTGTCTGTGTGTCTGTCTGTGTGTGTGTCTGTGTCTGTCTGTGTGTCTGTGTGTCTGTCTCCCCCCTGCAGGACAGCCGAGACATCCTGAGCAGGTTTGTGGCTCCTCACCTGCGTTCCTGACGTGTTCTTGTTTGGCTTTGGTGGACCCCAAAACCCCCCAACACCCCCTGACCTGTGTGAGATGGACACAGGACTCGGCTGGGACACCACAAAAATCCAGTTAGGATGGTGGAGACCGGGGTCAGGTACCTTCAGGGGGTGAAGGAACCCCAAAACCCCCTGACTTGGACACAGGACAGAGCTGGGACACCACCAAAGTCCAGTTAGGATGCTGGAGAGCAGGGTCAGGTACCTTCAGAGGGTGAAGGAACCCCAAAACCCCAACACCCCCTGACCTGAGCAGGTTTGTGGCTCCTCACCTGCGTTCCTGACGTGTTCTTGTTTGGCTTTAGTGGACCCCACAACCCCCAACACCCCCTGGCCTGTGTGAGATGGACACAGGACTCGGCTGGGACACCACAAAAATCCAGTTAGGATGGTGGAGACCGGGGTCAGGTACCTTCAGGGGGTGAAGGAACCCCAAAACCCCCTGAGATGGACACAGGACAGAGCTGGGACACCACCAAAGTCCAGTTAGGATGCTGGAGAGCAGGGTCAGGTACCTTCAGAGGGTGAAGGAACCCCAAAACCCCAACACCCCCTGACCTGAGCAGGTTTGTGGCTCCTCACCTGCGTTCCTGACGTGTTCTTGTTTGGCTTTAGTGGACCCCACAACCCCCAACACCCCCTGGCCTGTGTGAGATGGACACAGGACTCGGCTGGGACACCACCAAAGTCCAGTTAGGATGGTGGAGACCGGGGTCAGGTACCTTCAGGGGGTGAAGGAACCTCCAGTTCTGCTGCGGCTGCTCTCTGATCCGCGAAAACCTGGCTGATCCTGGAGGGATGGGATTTTCCTCCTCTAAAACAGGGAGCCGGCAGCTAAAAGGGTTAAATTCTGAGGGAATTAGAATTTTGGGAATTAGAATTTTACACCCTTAACAGATCTGATTGTGTCCCCTTCAGACTGGGGGTGGGAAGGAGGAAAGCGGACAAAGAAAATTGGTTTTATTCCCTAATTTCCACTGGTAAAAAATCTTCACCATCCAGAGGCTCCTCAGCCATGGCTGGGTCAGAAACTCTCCTCCAGGAGGAGCAGATTCCAAAAACCTCCTGGAGATGCCAAAACCTGACAGGAAGGGAATTATAAAATCGTGGAAATTTGGGATGGTTTGGGTCAGAAAGGGTTTTTCAAGCCTTCCCAGCTGCCTCTCCAGTCCCACTATTCCAAATTTTTGTGGAAAAATTATTTTTCTGATTTCCAGGCTGGAGGAGCAGAGCGCCCCAGAGCCGGTGGAGACCTCAGCAGAGCTGGCAGAGGAACCCACAGGGCTGCCCCAGGAAAATGCCCCCCTCAAGGAGATGCTGAAGAAATTCCAAGGTAGGGAGGGAGCAGGGAAAGGAGGGGTGGGCGCTGTGTCAGTGCCACATTTGGAAATCACCCCACAAAGGTGGAAATTCCAGATATTCCCATGTGGAAACTTCAGAAAGGGGAGCCACGGGACAGCCCCAAATGACAACAAAACCCCCACACTCCAGAGCTTCATTTCTCCATAATTTCTCCATAATTTACTCCATAATTTCTCCATAATTTCTCCAAAGTTTCTCCATAATTTTCCCATAATTTTCTCCATAATTTTCTCCACAATTTCTCCATAATTTATCTATAATTTCTCCATCATTTACTCCGTAATTTCTCGATCATTTTCTCCATAATTTCTCCATAATTTCTCCGTAATTTCTCCGTAATTTCTCCATCATTTACTCCATAATTTCTCCATAATTTTCTCCATAATTTCTCGATAACTTTCTCCATCATTTCTCAATCATTTTCTCCCATAATTTCTCTATAATTTCTCCATGATTTACTCCATAATTTCTCGATCATTTTCTCAATCATTTCTTGATCATTTTCTCCATTGCTTTCTCTGTTATTTTCTCCATAATTTCTCCATCTTTTCTCGATCATTTTCTCCATCATTTTCTCCCTATGCTGGCTTTTCTGCCCTAACCCTAACCCTAAGCCTAAATCCAAGCCTAAGCCTAACCCACTAACGTGTGGTCATCAAACCACCCCTGGAGCCTCCCAGATGGGGAAAAGTGGCACAAACCCACCCCAAAGGTGGCACAACCCCACCCCAAAAGTGGCACAAACCCACCCCAAAGGTGGCACAACCCCACCCCAAATCTCTGGCGAGGCCAGACCCCAACCGTCCCTCCCTCCCCCCGCAGTCAGCCTGACGCTGGACCCCGACACCGCCCATCCCCGCCTGGCCCTGTCCGAGGATGGGCGATGCGTCCGCTGGGACGACGCCCGCAGATCCGTGCCCGAGCACCCCAAACGCTTCGACTCGTCCCGCTGCGTGCTGGCCCGCGAGGGCTTCACCTGCGGCCGCCACTACTGGGAGGTGCAGGTGTGCCAGGGCTCGGCCTGGGCCCTCGGCGTGGCCAAGGCCTCCGTGGCCAGGAAGGGCCGGGTCAGCGTCAAGCCCGAGCGGGGGATCTGGGCCGTGGGGCAGTGTGGCAGCCAGTGCCAGGCTCTGACGTCCCCCAGTGTCCCCATCGCCCTCCCTGAGGCCCCCGAGGTGGTCGGGGTCTACCTGGACTATGAGGGCGGGCGCGTGGCGTTTTTCGATGTGCACAGGGAGGTGCCGATGTTCGCGTACCCCGCGGCGAGGTTTGGGGGCGAGGAGCTGCTGCCCCTGCTGTGCCTGGGCAGGGGGTGCTGCTTCAGGCTGAGCCCCTGAGCCCCCCGAGGTGGGGTACGCAGCCGAGAGGGCGTTTGGGTGGGAAATTGCATTTTTTACATTGCTTCTCCATCATTTCTTCATAATTTCCATAATTTCTCCGTCATTTCTCCATCATTTTCTCAATCATTTCTCCATAATTTCTCGATCATTTTCTCGATAATTTCTCCATAATTTCTCCATTATTTCTCTGTCATTTGCTCCCTCATTTCTCCACAATTTTCTCCCTCATTTCTCAATCATTTCTTGATAATTTTTTCCATCATTTCCATCATCTCCATTTTCCTGCAAGGAGAATTTAGAGGAATGTTGGTCCGAGGGTTCTGAGAGGCTTTTACCATTTGGGAGTGAGAAATAAAAAGGGAGAAAATGCACAGAGACCCCTTTTTTTAGGGAATTCAACCCAGAAAGCTTGTGTTTAGGTCGTCTTATGGGCGATAACAGTTTTGTCACGGCTCCCTGGTGGTCTAGTGGTTAGGATTCGGCGCTCTCACCGCCGCGGCCCGGGTTCGATTCCCGGTCAGGGAATAACCTTTTACTTTCGCTAAAAAAAGGTCATTTTTGGGAAAAATCTATTCTTATTTAAGCATCTCCTAACTCCCAAAACACTCATTTTCTCCTCTTTTTTGTGCCTCGTCCCCTTCCTCCTGTCCCAGCGCCTTCTGTTACCGAGCAATGAATAAATAAATACATGAATAAATAAACAATAATGCTAATTGTATTTTTTTTTCATTACGTTTATAAGAAAGGTGTTTGCTAGCTGTGCTAAACTAATTGCAGTTGAATACTGAAATTATTTATTTTGCATTAGGATTATTTACAAGGAGCAATTTCAAAAATTTCAAAAAGAGCAACAATATGGAAAAGAGGGGGGAAATTCGAAAAAGGATCATTCGATAAACGGAATAATATGAGAAAAGGGGATGAATGCTTTTAAAAAGAGGGATAATAATTGGAAAAGGAATAGTAATATCAGAGAGGGAAAAATAAGTTTTAGAAGGAGGTTAATGCTTTGAAAATGGGAATAATGATTTTAAAAGGGAAGTAACAATTAAAAAACGGAAATAGTGATTTATAAAGGAATTATCATTTGAAAAAAGGGAAAGCATAGCAGGAAAAAGGGGCATTTTTAAAATAATTTTTTAAAAGCACAGTGCTGTCAGGAGTGGGATTTGAACCCACGCCTCCATGAGGAGACCAGAAATCCCGAGGGAAGGAGAGTCCTTGAGTCTGGCGCCTTAGACCACTCGGCCATCCTGACGGCGAGAAGTTGGGGTGAAACAGAGTGAAACCTCCAGTTAAAATGCTTTTTTTTTTTTTTTTTTTTTGGTGGGGGGGCCGGTTTGGTTTTATTTATTTTTTTTTTTTTTTTCTGTTGCTTTGTGGGGACTTTTAAAATACTAATAAAGGATAATTATTAAAAACAGAATAATAATGGTTGTTAAAAGAAGAAAGAAATATTAATTTTAAAAGGAATAGTAGTTGAGGGGAAAGGATTTAAAATGGAATAAAATAAATAGTTGTTGAGGGCAAAAGGGTTTCAAAATGGAATAATGATTTCTGAAAGGAACAATCATTCTCACAGAATAAAACCAGGAAAACCTGGCATAATAATAATAATAATAATAATAATAATAATAGTAATAGTAATAATGGGAACGAAGATTATGATTCCAACGAATACTAATACTAATACTAAAATATTATTATATTAGTATTATTTATATATTTATAGTACTTTATTATTGTATTAAATTACATTACATTACATCATGTTATATTATATTATTTAAAAAGGAACAATAATTTCAAAAAGGAGGAATGACTTTAAGGAGAACGAAATAGTAAAACCTGGGATAATGACTTTTAAAAATTGCAGTTAAAAATAAGTAGGGAATAATAAGAGAAGAAGAATAATTTAAAAATAACAATAATTTATAAATTAGAATAATTAAAAAACTACAATAAATAAATAATAAAATTTAGGTGATGAAGGGAAAGAAAATGAAAAATGAAGCGCCCAACGTGGGGCTCGAACCCACGACCCTGAGATTAAGAGTCTCATGCTCTACCGACTGAGCTAGCCGGGCTGTTAAATGCCTGTGCTGTACTTAATTTAGCATTCATAAAATTTCCACACATTTTCCCCGGAACTCCCCAGCAGACAGATCCTTTTAGGGCGAAAAAGGCTGAAAAAAATCTGTCCCTCCCGGCAATTTTTGGCTTTTCTGCCAATTCGCCCTCGGCGATCCGAATCCGTCCTTAAAAACTTCCGGAGCGGACAAATTCCCGCGGCCTCTGAGGGCGGCGGAGCTGCCTGGAAATTGGCGGGATTCTGACGGAAAAGGGATTTTTTGTGGGTTTTTTTTTTTTTTTTCCTGGGCATTTTTTGGTTGGGGGGGGTTGGGTTTTTTGGTTTTTTTGGGGTTTTTTGTGTTTTTTGTGTTTTTTTATTTTTATGTTTTGTTTTTTGAGGTTTTTTGGGGGAGAGGTTTGCTGGGGGTTTTTTTGTTGTTATTTTGGGGGGATTTGGTGGCTTTTTTATTTTGGGGGGGTTTTTGTTGTTTTTTTGCGGGGGGGTTTAGGGTTTTTTTTTCTTTGTTTGTTTTGTGTTTTTTGGGGAGGGGTTGGGGTTTTTTTGAGGGTGTTTTTGGGTTTTTGTTTGGGTTTTTTGGGGGGGAGTTGGGTTTTTCGTGCTTTTTGGGTTGGTTTTTTTTTGTTGTTGTTTTTTGTGTTCTATTTTTCTGGGGGGGATTTTGTTTGGAGTTTTTTTGAGCTTGTTTGTTTGTTTGTTTGTTTTAGTTTGGTTTTTTTCTAGGTTTATATTTTGGGTTTGGGGGCGGTAGGCTCAGAGCAAGGAACACGGCGCGTTTCTGTAGTGTAGTGGTTATCACGTTCGCCTCACACGCGAAAGGTCCCCGGTTCGAAACCGGGCAGAAACAGCTCCTGCAAAGCGGTTTTTAATTTTTTTCGCTCTTCGACATTGCTCGAAATTCCTTCACGGCGATGCCGGCAAAATAAAAAAAATAAAACTACGTGTATTTGTAGGGCGAAAATGATTAATATTTACTCCATTCCCTGGTAAAAATCCGTGTTTATAACTCAGATCTGGTTTATTTTATTTTATATATTTATATACTATACTATACTATACTATATTATACTATACTATTTATATTATTATGTTATTATTTCATTCATATTTTTATTTTTATTTATTGTATATATTTTATTTGTATATAAACTTTATATTTATATAGATATATAGTTTATACATAAAGTTATAATATTAAAACTTTTATTTATAGAAATATAAAGTTTATGTAGAAATAAAAGTGTAAAACTTTAAATATCAAAGTTTATTTATTCATACATACGTATTTTCCCTGCGGACAAACCGACATCTCCACAACTTCACTCCCAGGAAAACCTGGGAATATGATTCGCCCTGGAATCGCTGAAATGCCTTAAAATCCCATGGATTTGGGGTGGCTGTTTCCTTTCAAAAGGGACAAATTCGGTCGAAATTGAGGAACTTTGACTTTTAAGGAAAACCTTGACTGCTCATTCCCTGACCGGGAATCGAACCCGGGCCACGGCGGTGAAAGCGCCGAATCCTGACCACTAGACCACCAGGGAGCTGCTTAACCCAATTTTTGACCATTTACACCGATTTTTAACATCCAACAAACTGCCCCAAATCTGCTCTTCCCATCGGCCTCAGGGCACTTCACTCCAGGCGTGGAAAGAATCAATAATAAGAAAAATCATTGAAAGCTCAAAATTAATTTCATATTAATTCAATTGAATTTTAAATTCATTAAATTGAATGTTAAATTAATTAGATTTTATTTTAAAATCCCCTCCCAAATAATAATTCAAGACAATAAGCGAATCAATCAAAAACAGGAGAGCTATAAAAACGATAAAATATATTAAAAAAATGTAGCAACAGCAAAATTAATTTAAACAATAAGATTTAGCTTAAGATTGCCCTCCCTGGTGGTCCAGTGGTGAGGCTCCATCATTTTCACCGCCGTGGCCCTGATTCCTGATCAGGAAAAAAATTTCTAAAAAAGACAAAATTCTTTAAAAGCATAAATTTTAACCTCGGGGTGCCCCAAATGTCCGTGATTTCACGTGAAATCTCCCTGGTTTGGAATCTGACAAAATCCACCGATTTTGAGGCTATTGGGGGGGGGGGGAGGTTGGGGGTTGGGGTTTTTTGCAATTTATTTACGCCCTTCACAAAGGCAGCTGGAATTAAAAGGGATAAAGGAATTAAAATTGAAAAAAAAATGAATGAAAAGCGATAAGGAAATGAATTAAAAGCGATAAGGGAATAGTTAAAAAGCGATAAAGGAATCCAAAACCAGGGGGGGAGATTTTCCCCCAGGATTTGGAAATATTCAGGAACAACTCGGGGAATTTGGGTACCTAGAATTGGACAAAAAACGCAAAACCCGGGGTCACGGGTGTTTCTGTAGTGTAGTGGTTATCACGTTCGCCTCACACGCGAAAGGTCCCCGGTTCGAAACCGGGCAGAAACAGCCAGCCTCTCTTTTAGGCTGTTTGGTTTGGTTTTTTTTTTGTTTTGTTTGGGTTTTTTTTTGTCTTTGTAGTATTATTTTTTCCCCCCTGCTTAATTTTCCAGACTTCATAGGATCGGGGTCGGTCTGTGGGGCACACAAATTATAAACCAGAATTCCAAGAGATTCCTCTCCGGTTTGGCCAACTGGAGTGAACAAACCTTGTCCTCGACATTTCTGCATTTTGTGGTGTCTGAAATGGTTTTAATTCCGTAATTACTTCTCTGGTGACCCAAATCTGGGCGGTTTTGGGGGAAAAAAAAAAACCTCAAAGCAAGTAATAAAAAAAGGGACAAGGGATGTAGTCCAAATTGCCAATAAAAGGAAAAAAAAACCCTCTTTTTTGCTAATTTCCACGAATTTCTTTTCCAGGACGAAAACCAATCGGGTTTCTGTAGTGTAGTGGTTATC